TAATAATAATATATATATATATATATATATATATATATATATATATATATATATATATATATATATATATATATAAAGAAAAAAGAAAAAAAAATAAAAAAATAAAATAGAAGGCAGCTCGCGAGCCGGCTCGCGAGCTGTCGAACAGCTAATTTTGGGCTCGAGCTCGAGCTCGTCCGAAGCTCGAGCTCGAGCTCGAAAATCTCGAGCTCGAGTTCGAGCTTTTTTCGAGCCGGCTCGTCGAGTTCGCGAGCCGGCTCGGCTCGTTTACCACCCCTAATCACAAGTTGAAAATTAGCGTCGGAGATTTTTTGACTTTAGAGCCTTTGAGAGAATTTTGTATTTTGAAATATGAAACGTTAATAAATATTATATCGAAATTACTCTATAACCTAATAAAGTTTACTCTATAAATATCATTTCAGTACTATTACATTACTAATGTAGTAAAATAGATCAGAAAATTAAATAAGTGACAGATATTTTAAGGTACATAAAGGTAGTGTCCTAATTATTTTTTCCTTCTAAATAGAGGTACATAAGGTAGTGTTATATAGGGCATCATCATAAGGGCAAAGATATAAATCAATAATAACATTAGATATATTGCAGTATTCATATAAACTTGGGTGTCACAGTACTACACCTTGACCAAATATTTGATAAATTTATATTGCGCTGCCTCGAGACTGGGCATATTTATACATAGACCCTTTATATTTTAAATGTTATCCAACCATCCTTACAAAGGAGGAAAGTGATAATATATAATAATTTTTAAATTTTGCAGTTATTTATTTATCAACATCATCTAATTAGGTGGTGTTTGCAAACACTTTTCCAAAGTGATTATGAGTTTTTCTTGGTTCAAAATCAGGTTTTCTAAACATTAAAAAACTCATAACCACTTTGAAAAAAAGTTTGCAAACACCACCACCTTAATCGATGGCCAAATTATGTTTCAAGTGTTGGTTGAAATCGAATCTTCCCGAAAAATCTGAATAATTTCTTAAACCTCAAGTCATCTAGACTCTACATATAACTAAACTTGAATACTAATTAGAGCAAGATTGTATATTTATCCTAAAAAATGTATGTATAGGCCTCGTTCTGTTGGAAAGATTAGTCATGATTAACTAAATAATTGGATTTTGTCTGATGTTTGGTATCCTCAATAACTTGTCGGGTCGACATGAAAATATTATATTATCATGTCTTATTTGTCTTTTAGGGAGTATTTTTTATTGGACGTCGATCGAATAAAAGAATTGAATTTTCATTAGATTATTTAATCTTATCTTGACAATTTAACGAGGCCATAATATACTTAATAAAATCGGTGAGAGTAAAAACATTTATTGACTTTGGTTGGATTTTTAACTTACACTTGAAACCCTAACTAATTTATATGTTACAACCTCGTTTAGTTGGTAATATTAGTTATTGTTAACTAAATAATTAAACTTTGTAATGTTTAGTATCATCAATAATTTGCCGGGTCGACCCACAATTATTATATTATCGTGCATTTTCTTGCTTGTATGCATGTTTTATATCAGATCTTTCAAGATCCAATAATATAATGAGTTTCATTAGATTATTTAATCTTATCTTGACAACCAAACGAAGCATTCGTGTATAATTGAAAAGAGTCGTCAATCTGAAAGGAAAAAAACTTGACTAGTTAAAAATACTTAAATACTTAAGAAGACATCAACAAAATACATTTTATATATATATAAACACATCCAAAATCTTAAAGCGCGTGTACCTAGTTTAGCAAAGAACAGTATACCTGTGGCGGCAGTTATGACAGTTATTATGAACTGATATCCATCTTCTCTTCTCCCCCCTACACACACACACACACACATATATATATATATATATATATATATATATACACACCCCCTCTGATATCCACTCCATTCACTAACAGACCCTTCATTTCTCCAATAATAATATTTTTCTTCTGGAATTTTGAGTTTCTTGAGATTTATCCACAGTAAAGAATCATCTCATTCTCTTTCAAGAAACTCAACATTAGAATTTTCTCATCAAAGAGTATCTCTGCAGAAATGGGAAGGTTATTCGTCAAGGAACTACGAGAGGCTCCTCACATCGTCTGCATCAATTGCAGCACCTGTATTGCCGTGCTACGACACAAATTACATCTCCCACCGGTTAATTTCTCCACTCTCCCCATCTCCCCATTCTTTCTTAATGAATTCATCAAAACTTGCGTTCTCGAGTAATCCTACAGTCATTGTTTCTTCTTCGTAAATTAATCGATCCCTGAATATTCATATGGACAAAACTGTTACTCTGTATACAAAAAAACGAAAGAGAAGAAGAACAAATGTTTGATGGTAATTGACTAGTTATAGCATGAGATATATCATCACACCCTTAAATTTTATAGGGATAAACTGTTATTTTGATCAAGAAGCAACTTGCGTTGGTCTATCCTATTCTGTCGAATATTTACGAAGTAGTATAGATAGATAGATAGATAGATAGATGCCTTACCAAAATGATATCCGGTGCCTTTTTCTCGTCTTTTTTTAATTATTATTTTCTTGCTTGAGGAAAACTCGATGGCTCGGAATTTTACTTGATAATTGCCATTGTTACGCTTCTCTGATCCCCTCTTACTCTACAGGATGAGGCTGAGGAAAATGTTGGTGTTTTCCGTAAAGTGTAAGATCTAAATTCTGCAAATCCATCGTAATTATATTCTGCAATATCCCACGATGAATCAGTATAGAAAAGCTGCTTACAGTGAATGAATTGAAATGTTTAACTAAATGGAATTGAACCAGAAAACTTAATGAAAACATCAAGATTTTCGTTTTTTTTTCTTCCTTCTGTGTATGCAGTGTGAATGTGCAAGTGGAAGAATACCAAAACTACCAAGTTGGTCCTCACACCGTTACTAATATCTACTGCTTGAAATGTAGGAATGAATTGGGCTGCATATACGTAAGACAATACCAAGCAATTTTTAGATTTTTTTTCAAAGTACTTTATGTTACTATTGTCGTCTTTATAGATAACATGCTCAAAAGGTGCTGCACTGTATTATTATTCTACAGATTCAAGTTGTTGGAGAGCAGAACATTCTCCGAGATGGATATGTGAAAATAATGATGTAAGCCCTAAACCCCTTGTGAGAAATTACAGTAATTAAATTTATGCCTAGTTCAACACTGTCAAATGTCCTTATAACTATTTATGTTTTTTTTACTTTTTTTGTGAAACTATCAAACAGGGAGCAGACTCGGGAAATCAGGGACGAAGAGGAACCCTAAATTCTGGCTGTGCAACAAATCTTGGGAACTTAGCTGAAGTTGATAATGTTTTCTTCTCAGTACTGAATTTTCGACTTTTATTCTGCATTATCTGATTATCGCAGACTAAAATTTAGCTCACATATTGTTGAGGCTTTCAGTTGAAATATTATGTCCATAACAATTTAGACGTACCGTTTTATCTTCAATTTAGATACCCAACGAGCTTTTAAGATTTTTTGGCAAATAAGTTTCAATATGTCATACTCGGAATAATTAGCATTTCATTCCTTTTAATTTCTTTACTATATTTGTATATATAGAAATCTACTAAGTCTGATATGTCCTAATGTGAAAGCATCGTAAAGTGTGAAGGCAGTTATGCAACATATTTTTGGCATTAGTTACCGATAGTTGATACTTTATGCTCTAATTTCTGCAGATATATACATGTTTGCGACATATGGTAGTTTTCATTGAGATGCTTACCAGCCTCTAAATTGCGATGCTCGTATTTAGTTCTCTTTAGGTTTGTATTCTTTTATTAGAAATGATTCCTTACACGGTATTTTAGAGAATAGGCAATATCGTAGTATTCTATAACTGCCTTAAGGTAGGATGATGAACTAATATAATGGTAAACATCAAGGTATTTTAATCTCATTTCGCATCAGATTTAGACCTTTTAATGATAGTACCAAAGAAACTTTCAAACACGATAAAGAGTGATTGACATGCAACAAAACAGTATAGAAGATGCAGGTATATCCTCAACAACTGAACAATCAAAATCGAGAAAATATAGGAATGTTTGAAAATTAATTGACAAATGTATCGCATTTCACAAAACGGCACTGCAATAAACGGCCAACTCATGAGAGAAATATAAAATACACAAAGGTAAAGAAGAAAGCAGCAAGATTTTGAAGAATATAAAAGTCAAGCAGAATCCACATAAGCCGGAAAAACCCAACATTACAGAGATTGTTATACAATGGAGCGTGAATTTAGAAACGAACGAAGAATTCCCAAATTTATTTTCGAAGGCACTAAATCATAGCTAATTAATTATATACCAAACGGAACTCTAATGAAGTAAACTACTTTAGCTAAACCTATAGTTCACCTTCCTCATCAATTTCATATTTTTTTCACAAGAAATTAGATATATGTCCCATTTGCAACATATTAAACTATGCAGTAAGGTATATCTAATTTAGGGCTCAGAAAATATTTCAACAAGCACAGAAGTTCCATAATCACACACACAGGCAACCAAGCCCTAAACGCCGATTGATTGATAAAAAAAAAATATAGCAGAAATTATAAATAGAAAAACGCAGTTTAATTTCAAATCAGACGAAGGAATTCATTACCTGAAATAATTGGCGATCGCCGTCCGCCGCCCGCCGCTGGTGATTGTTCGTGTTCACTGTTCAGCGTATCGAAGCAAAAGCCCATGTGTTGAAGAACACACAAATTGATCTTATTTATATTTATGGTAAATTACAAACACCCCCTTAGGTATGGTTAATTTACAAAAAAACCCTATTGTTTGGATAATTACATCTACCCCCTCAACTATGATTTTTTCTTACACATCCACCCTTATGGTGTCAAATTCAACATAATCATCTAGATTTCGTGGGATGTGCTCTAGTTTGTACTCGTTTTGTGTAAAAATAGAGTTTCTGATGTACCGCAATCTGATATATACAAGCCAAAAAATACATATTATGATCATCGTGCTTCAAAGTGATAATATTCCATATAATCTCGAAGATTCCACTAAATTTGAGGAGTTGAGGGGGTGGTTGTAATTATCCAAACAAGAGGGAGATTTTCGTAATTTAACCATACCTTAGAGATGATTGTAATTTACCCTTATATTTAAGAAGATTAATTAAATTTTAATTCTATTTTTTCTTTTATATAATTTTCAAATTTCTTCATTTTCTGGTTGCCAAAATTATATCGTGTTCAAAATTATATCGTGTTACGATGGAAGAGAATACACTATTTTTTGGTATTATATGTTGTGATTGATTAAATTAATACGAATAAAAGTACGAGGGATCAATGTTACCTCATCAAATGATCGTAAAAAGCTAAAAGTATATTGACTGATAAAATAAATACAATTTTTTTATCACTTCAATATCACCAACATAAATAATAAAAAATAAATAGGTAATGAAGTTAATACCCTTAATAAAATAAATACCACACAAATTTTGTGTGGTATTGATTTTCATTAAGGTTAATAAAATCATTATCTATTTATTATCTATTTATATTTTATTTTTTATGTTGGTGGTAATGAAGTAAGAAAAAATCGGTATATATTTAGCGACTCCCAAAGTATATATCTTATGCTCATTGCTCAAAAAAACACTCAGCTAGATAATATGGTTCACATGTTATCTACTCAATTTACTCTTCATGTTTATACTCTTCAAAAATTTATTCGCATATATTAAACAATAATAAAATATTCATTAATTAAATATAATATATTTAAATTTTAAAAATTTCGTAACATGTATTATTTTATTTTATTCGTATCTATATTTATATCGGTAAAGTAATTAAAAATATTCAATAAACACGAATAGCATAAAATTAACAAAAATATATAATAAATTGCAATAAGTTGAACATGTTTGTTGGAACATCAATCCAACTATAGACATAAAAATATAGATTCTACAAAAACACTTACCCTGAATTATTTTTTATTTTTTCTAATACAACATAAGATCTCTATTTGTTGTTCAATAACTCAAGTTTTATCTTCCTATTTAGAAGTTGATATAGGATTCATCATCATTATTTCTTACTCGCGTTGTTATTGTTGATGTTCTTGTTTTGATCCAATTTTCATTCTTTTCTCTTTTTTTTTTTCTTTTCTTTTTTCATTTTAGCTTGTATTTTTGTTTTCTATTACATTTCTCCTAATATCCTCCTCTTCAAAGCGACTTGATTGTTCTTTTCTCATATTAGAAAACTCCTCCATAAATAAATTGATGGAATCGAGATTTTTTCTTTCTTTTAGCATTTTTTGCAGTTTTGCGACTATGATGACGTGTTAGTCCCTGTGAACCATCATAGATACCCCCATCATCATTTTCATGACTGGTTGAAGATACAGTCGTATTTGGGGCTGATTGATGAGATGGAGTTTGGGTATTTGATGAATCTTCAATTTGATCATCATCCAAATAAATTTCAAACATCTTTTTTCTCAGAATTTTTTTTTTTACTTTCGCTTCTGCTAAATGGTATAATTATACAGTTTAGAAATTTACCTACATTGTCTTCTTCATTATTTTCACTACATTGAGCTCGGTCAACCATACGAACATACCTAGAAAATTTACTCACATAATGTTGAATAATTTTCCATCGATGTTTAGCTCTGGCGCATTTCTATTTGAATCACATTTTAAACTAGATATAAATTCTATTTTTGTTGGTAAATACCAACTATTGCATCTTCTGAAACACGTAACCATGCACAAGGCTTCATCTTCTTCCGTATTCCAATTTTTATTTATGCCACGAGTCTTGGTCTTTATATCTGATTTGTTTGTACTTTATGATTGCTCTTGATTTGGAATTTGAGATGACTCTGCATAGACGAAAGGATTATAAGGAAATTGTGAAAATGGTTGTGATTCAGAATTGAAATTGTAAGGATTGTATGAAATTGTTGAGAGAATGTTGGAGATTAGTTATTCCTTGACTTGCATGACACGAGTTCGGGATTTACTTGCAGCCGAACAAGTCGAAACAAGATTTCCATTCAAGGTTTTAGAAGTCACAATCATGGGCATGGACGACGCATGGTGGATTCTGAGACCGAAGCAAAAATTGCATTTAGAAGGAGCTTATCTTGACGAACCCAAAATGAATAGAAGGCGAAGAACATTAGAGGAGAAGCATTGGATAGAAATGACAACGATGAGATCCATCAATGTATTCAAGCAGATCGTAGCCCATTAAGAGATCCAAATTGAGTCTGCAAAGATGGTGATACGATTTATTATTTAATTATTAGTTAGTTAGTATTTTTATTATTAATTAATTAGAATAGTTGTTTAGGTTTATATTTTGCCGTGAGTACTTAGTTGTTAGGGAATTATTAAGTATTTTATTAGTATAGGTAATTATCTTTTCTAGTTAGATTAGGATTCTAGGGTTTTATTATCTTTAAATAGTCGTCTTGTGCTAGGGTTTTATAAAAAAGAGAAAAATATTAAAGAATAGATCTTACGTTTCGTAGGAAATATTTATGATACTCGAGAGATCGCATCAATTGGTATCAGAGCGAAGTTGCGATTAACACCAACGCTTCGTTAGCAAGGCAGAGATTATATCAAAGCTAAGCTGGAGCAAAGTTGAGATCACATCAAAACTTTGTGAAAATCATGATGTCCGAAACAAGACGGTTAGAGCGATTGGAGAAATCCGTAGAGAGATTACGGATCGATTTTCAGAAATTACTCGAACAAAGTCACGGACGACGTCAACGCCAACACAAAGGCCGAAGGGACCGCCGCCCATCACCGCCAACGCCACCGCTACCATCACCACCGCCGTTGCCGAGCCTGTCGCCGGAGGGAGAGGAAGAGGACGACGATGATTTTTTCGAAGAGCCACGATTTTTTGTGAGTTCGTCGAAAGAAGAATTACCGGATTCGGGAGAAGTAATTTGGGATGAAGACGAGAAATTAACCAATAAGGAGATTGAAGAATCACTCGTCTTAAGTGAGATAATTTGGAACGGGCACGAGGAATTAAGTAGCGAGGAGGACAAAGAATTAAAAAATATAGTGGAAGGATGCCACGACTTCCCGGAGAAAGGAAACGAAGAAGTGCTTGTGATTGTGAGTGAGCCAGATTCTATAAAGACGGTCAAAGAAAAAGTTACGGTGAATGTAAGGAAGACGAAACTTGAAAAGACAATTGAGACGAAGGTTGATTTATCGGGTAAGAGATTGAAAAATTTCGTTCGGGCAGATGGACTCATGTTTGGAAAAGAGCTCGATTTTTCGTCATGTTTTTCGGATTCAATCGGAAAGCAATTCGATGGCGTCAAGCATAGGTGGAAACACAAAAAAAGAGAGACGATTATTGGGCAGAACCTTGAGGACAAGGTTCATTTCAAGAGGGGTGGTTTGATACGATTTATTATTTAATTATTAGTTAGTTAGTATTTTTATTATTAATTAATTAGAATAGTTGTTTAGGTTTATATTTTGCCGTGAGTACTTAGTTGTTAGGGAATTATTAAGTATTTTATTAGTATAGGTAATTATCTTTTCTAGTTAGATTAGGATTCTAGGGTTTTATTATCTTTAAATAGTCGTCTTGTGCTAGGGTTTTATAATGAAGAGAAATAATAAAGAAGAGTTTTCTTACGATTAGTAAAGAAATCTTATGATACTCGAGAGATCGTATCAGATGGATGGTTAGAGGGTGTGATCTTTCACCATATATGTGATGCAATGTTAATTGCAATTAGTTGGGGCATGGTGGAAGAAGCAGCATGAGTAGTGAGCAGTACTAGTGAAGAATATATTAGAAGATATTTGTGAAAGTGGGTTTGAGATCGTGTCTCAAAGGAGAAATGGATTGTGATACCATATAAAATTACACAGGACAGTGGAGTCAAAGACGCACTCTAGTTCATGTATAACGAGAGTATATATATATATCAGTATAAAACTAATTTAGAAAATATATAAATCTATTTAGGTGGTGTTTGCAAATGCTTTTTGAAAGTGATTATGCGGTTTTTTTTGCTCATAATCTGTTTTAAGGTGTTTGCAAAATCAACTTTTACTTTTGCTTCTCTTAAAATAATCTGCTTTAAGTTATTTTTTTAAAAGCACCCATAACCCTGCTTTTTCAGTTTTAGTTCATTTTCCGAAATATTTGCAAACACCCCCAACTTTTAGAAATAAGCACTTAAAACTAACTTAAATCATAATCACTAACTTCTACTTGTAAATAATCATTTGCAAACACCACCTTAATATACAAAAACTGAGAATCGGAAATTGATATTTGACTTGAATGGTGCATGATAAGTGGTCGTTTGGCACGATTTTTGCTTATCAAATCTTCGAGTTTTGGTCTTCGTTCGTTCGAGTTTCGGCTTTATTTGTATATATTATTGCGTTTCTTGTTTTATTTCTATTTCAGGGTTTTATTAGGTATTTTTGCCGAGTCGAAGCCATTTGAAAGCGAAACCGAATTTTCAAGCCAATTTTGGGGCCAAGAAGACCCAGATCGCGATCTAACATCTCTGGATCGCGATCTAGGGGTTGTCACAGTACGAAAATGGATCAAGACCCAGATCGCGATCCAGCATTTCGGATCGCGGTCTGGGGGTGCTTACAGAGCTGAAATGATTGAAGATCCAGATCGTGATCCAGGAAGTCGGATCGCGATC